GATGACGGCGTCATGGCGGGAGAGAGAGTCCCATCCCAGGATGACGTCATGAGAGCATGCCTGAATGACGATGAACTGGGCGACATACAGAACGTCCTGGATGACAACGCGAGCTGTGCACCCTGCTGTAGGATGAATCCGGTGCAAACTTGCAGTACGGAGGGATAACCCAGAAAGTGGCGTCGTCACTTTTCGAAGTAAGCGGCAGAGTTTTTCGTCCATAACTGATACGGCAGCTCCAGTGTCAATAAGAGCCGATGCACAAACACCGTCCACAAGCACGTTAATGACATTCGAGGGGCTGCTCTGAGGGCTTTCACATTGCGATAGCGTCGCAGTCCTTGCCTCAGGGACTGCGACGACTAGTTTTCCCGCTCATGAGCTGCCGCACTTGGCCGCATGGGAGACAGGGAACGGCGTCGTGGAGACGGTGATCTTCGAGATGGACCTGGGTGAGATCGAGGTGGCATAGGCGGTGGTTCTTCGCGATAAGGACGGCTGAGTTGGCCAGCAACAGGTGAAGAAATTGGAGCCGGCTGTACGCGATGGCAATAACGGGCCACGTGACCGGCGTAACCGCAGGCAAAGCAAATGGGCCGGTTGTCGGGTGTGCGCCATCTGTTCACCGGGGTAGGTCTCACCCATGTCGCAAGGGCTGATGGACGGAACGGTGGCTGCATGGTGGACTGAAGTTGCCCCGCCGCGGTGGTCTAGTGGCTAAGGTACTCGGCTGCTGACCCGCAGGTCGCGGGTTCGATTCCCGGCTGCGGCGGCTGCATTTCCGATGGAGGCGGAAATGTTGTAGGCCCGTGTATTCAGATTTGGGTGCACGTTAAAGAACCCCAGGTGGTCAAAATTTCCGGAGCCCTCCACTACGGCGTCTCTCATAATCAAATGGTGGTTTTGGGACGTTAAACCCCACAAATCAATCAATCAATGGTGGACTGAAGCTGAGGCTGAGGGGTTACGTCAACATACGTAGCGGGCATACCCGCTGCAACGGACGGAGGTCGTGCAGCAGCTTCAGCGTAGGTCAGAGGGGCGGGTGCTTGAACGACTTGGGATGGCCTGGCGACCACTTGCGCGTAACTCAGGGACGCAGGAGCCGGAGGCTGTTGGGGGTGGTAAGCAGGCATTACCTCCGCTATTTCCTGTTCAATCGCTCGGCGGATGGGAGGGAGAAGGGTAGTAGCCGATTGTTGAACAGCAGGTTGGTGGGAAAAGGGCAGGAGGGAGAACTGACGCGCGATTTCCTCACGGATAAAGGACTTCAGTTCTGCCATCAACGCCACTTGGTCACAACTGGCCTCCAAGCCAGCAAGCGTTGCAGCTCGTGGTGGGGAGCGTCGGGTCATCGAACGCTGCCGGCGGAGCTCCTCGTAGCTCTGGCACAGTGTGATGACCTCAGCCACCGTGCCGGGGTTTTTGGCGAGCAGCATCGTGAAGGCATCATCATCGATGCCTTTCATGATGTTTCGGATCTTGTCAGACTCGGACATGGTGTGATTGGATTTGTTACATAGGTCGAGGACATCTTCAATATAGCTGGTGAATGACTCACCAGCCTCCTGAGCACGTTCACGCAAGCGCTGCTCGGCTTGCAGCTTGCGAACAGCAGGGCGGCCGAAGACGTTGACGATTGCGGTCTTGAAATCGGACCAGGTGGCAAAATCGGACGCGTGGTTGTTGTACCACAAACTGGCGACACCGGCAAGGTAAAACACCAAGTTGGTCAGCTTGCCGTCCTCGTCCCATTTGTTGGGGACGCTCACGCGGTCGTAAATGGCGAGCCAGTCCTCCACGTCAGTGCCATCAGCGCCAGTGAAGATGGGTGGATCGCGTATTCTGGGGACACCGGGACAAGGGGGTGGCATTGGAGGAGGCGTTTGCTGAGAAGCGTCTTGGTACATAGTAGATGGCAGGGTACGTGATCGTAGCTCCAAAGGCATAGACAGGGATTGCAGCACCTCCACCAAATTGTTACGGCGTTTATTAGGCGGCAACGAGCGAGAATACACAATGGCGACAGTCACAGCCAAGCACGGGCCCTCAGCGCGAGCGGCGTCCTTGTTGGGTAGCCCCACTAGAAGGTACTCAAGAGTTCGACCCATTTCATAGTTCGGAGGCTTCGCTACAATTTATATATATATATATAAAGATGGATATAATGTTGAAATAATCGTAATTTTATACATGTCTAAGATAGCTATAAATTTGCTTTACAGTATATCTGACTCCTGGCTAAATGGTTCATTGCTTCATCTTTTTGGTCGAGTGCCATAAGTGGGGGTCGTATCCAGGCAATCTTTTCTCAGGGCTTGTGCTTAGTTCTGCGCAATGCTGGGTTAACGAGGCATCGCTCACTTTTGCGTTAGGGTCTCCCGCGTACCTTCTGTAGTTTATTTATTTGCTGATGTGCTGTTCACTGGTGTGGCATTTCAGAGCTGGACTAGCACAAACAATGTGTAGATAGCCTCTTCTGTGACTGCCGTCTGCCTTCGCTGGCGCACGGCTGGCGTGTCCTCGCTTTTGGCGATGGTCAACGCGACACGCTGAGCAAGAAAGCGCCGTACTCTATAGGTTGCAAAGACGATATTCTCAAAGCTGCTGTCTCACTGCAGTGGTTTTCCACGATTGGGCAACGTGAGTTTTCGTAACATTATGGTATTGTGCTCATGAACAGATGTGTCAAAAATTTATCTGCGAAGATTTCGGTGTAGATTTCAAGTACGCAAATCCTTTGATAAAACAACCTTGCTTCTCAGTCTTTCTTGTCGGTCCTGCTTTCCTTGCGCCCAAGCAATTATTGAGCCATAAGACGAAATGAATCGCGTATTTATAATGGCACGTAAAAGGTCAGCAATTAAGAAAATTTTCAATTTAGCGCCATGTAGGGCAAAGTCCGATGTCACCACCACTTCCGGTGGTGACGTCATATCTTATTTTTATTTTTGTTCGCTTTTAGTTGTACCCTCCCTACGTAGATGATGACGGTGGCAACGAGCCGCCAAATACTGGGTACATGGTCTTCTATGAAAGATACGCTACCAGTTTACATATACCTTGCAATAAGCACAAGCGATAAAGCGCAGTAACAACGAAATACTGTGGTCAGATTCGCGCATGGAATGACTTGATGCGCATGGCATGGATGACTTCAGGTCGTGCACAGTGCCATTGAGAGTTCGTATGGGGCATGTTATTTGTAGTAACGATGTAAATGTGAAGAAGTTATAGTGAACGAAAAGCTCGTAAAAGATCACGCGCTTCGTGACGCCAGCCCCGGCAGAAAGATACAGTTCTACACTCACCATCATGGCTACTAGAGGGGCCCTGCAACACTTTTGGGGCAGCCTCATTTAGCACCAGAACGCATGTAGCGGTGATTACTGAGACGAATGCACTAACATGATGAAAATCGATCCACGGAAAGTGAAGTCATGAGTCTTCAAAGTTAAGAACTCGAGCAGATGACGACGAGAAACGTTCTTCGCATTTCACTCGCCTGCTGACGTCAAAGACCGCTTCCAATCACAGCGCGCGTCTCATGCACATTCCAGAAATGTCACCTCGTAGTGGATTTCACACGATACCCCGCTGCCGCTCTTTTTGACGGTGTCGTTAGTATAGTCATTACGAACCACGTGCGTCGGGTAGCAAGCGCTCTCACAGTCACATTGTGTAAGATACACACACACGACTTGGGCGGGGTCGCTTATCGGCTTGCTATCAAGACGCGTTCTACGGCCACACCGGCGCCCACCGCTTGTTGCATTTTTGGTTCGCTAAATACGCGGCATGCACTTACACTTTTATTTGCCGGCGTACCTTAGCCTCGCTAGCAGGCAAAGTGTTGTGTTCGTAATTCTAGAGTTCTCGGCGATCGTAATCCAAACCAGGCTCTCGATGAACGCGTCCTTGTTGAGGCCGTCAAGCTTCGTCGTGCCGCACGGGTAGTTAGCGATTTGAGCCGATGCGAGCCACCGCCGACGCCTTTGCTGCCATGTTGAATCTGCGGCTGGCTGGTTAGATCACGTGGTTTGACTTAGCGCAGCCAAAGCCGTGAAGCGTAAACCCTATTCGCTTTCGCATGGCGGCAAAATTTGTGTCGGATAGATTTTTGCGCGCAGGCCACGCGGTGTGGTTTTCCGGCCACTTGGGTAGCGAAACAAGCCAGTTTCTGGAGAGTTTCGCCGCCATCGCTCTCTTCAAGGCCAAGTGTTCACTTAAGCTGCATTCGCACAGCAAACACGATCGTAGATAGATAAATCACGTGATATGTCGCATAATTCGGATTCCTCCGCAACCAGCATTCAAACGACATTCACGCTACAAGCGAGCATTTCGGCATTGCTCTCCGAGGATACCAACAGTGATTCGAGCATTTCACGAATCGGTCCACGGGGACCAAAGCGGAAATGCAGCGGCTGACGTATGGGGGCGTAGCGCGCCATCCGCAGGCTCGAATCGCGGTTTGGTTGGTCGTGTCAGTACAGTTTTACTAAACTCCAGGTTTGAATGTATATGTAAACCTCATAAATGGGGACGGAGGAATGACCACCATTGTAGTTCAGTTGGGAAAGCATTGTATACGTTATTCAAAACTCGCAGGTTCGGTCTCCTGCCAGGGCGAAGACACATTTTTGTCCGCCTTAATTTCATACCGTCTATACATTATATTTACTTCTAACAACATTGCCTATACGTTCCTTGGACTTTTTGTCCACCATTCTCAATTAAGGTTTTGTCTAATCAAAACAAACCTGCCCTCAAAGTTCCTGTTTCTTAATTTTTATATATACACTAAAACATGAAGGCGAAGTTACTAATTATCTCATACTCTCCTATACTAACAAATGTGGCGCAGAAGTTTGTATATCTAATATCTTTTTAAACTCACTCATGTAATGTAGAAGTTACAGTTAACGTGCAGTTTACTGAGAAATTCAAAGCTTCTAGCGAACGAAGGCTCTGGTGATCTTCAAAAACACTTGTCTTACATTATTCTCGTCACGTAGATAGGAGTGCAGGTCTCCGTACTTCATGTAAGGTGTGATGACCATGAGTCCATCTCTTTCGTCCAAGCAAAGACCGATAAGTGGAAGCACATTCTCGTGATTGAAATCTTTCATGATCAGCGCCTCCTTCAAGAATTGTTGGCTATCGCTGTCACCACCACGGGAGTCTGAAAGTCACAATTTAAATATGAATATATAACACCCCACACACATAGGCCGTTGTATTCCGCATGTATGTAATAATTTTCACATTACTATTTCGTTATTTAGTGGTGTTGAAGTGTAATTAAACGGCAACCATCATATCGAGTTCAACTGTAGACAGCATTTCTGCGAGAAATGTTTTACAGTAGGGATTTGTTGTACTCAGACATTTTTTTTTGCATTTGACATTTCCGTTAAACTACAGAACTTGACGACAGTTATGCCCGAAACCTTTATTATGCTCAGAAGAGCCTTGCAGAAATAGAAAGCGTGTTGTATGAATTTATTTAAACGACTCTTCATTACCACTTTTTTTTTCGTCGGTTATTGAAGTTGTACTGGAGAAACATTCGTTATTTTTGCAGCTTTCACCTTTTTTTGAGGAATACGTTCTCATGGTTATTTACTAGAAATTATATCAGTAAATATAATCTTAAGTGGATTCGGTACGATTAGACAGAAGCCATAGCATAATACTAAACTAAATGCATTCTAAGTGAATATGATTAACATGTGCACATACATTGCCCGACTTCCCCTTACCTTCCTGCCATTGTGAAGCCTGTTCTAGAATATTGTAAAGAAAAATTCCAAGCCAGTGTTGTCTCAAGTGAAAGGTGTAAGAACTTCGGATAATTGATTTGTTTGTATTTTGTTTGGCTTTATGTTATGTTTATTTGTGCCTTTTTGTTTAGTGTTCCTTTCTGGTATCATCTGCTCAGTGGTGCTTTTTTGTCCTTTTCGTGCTGATTGCGTGATATATTGTGCCATTTTCTTTTTCTCAATCAAGACTCTGTGATTGGCTTTACGAGTATCTGTTTTCTGCTCTATGGTCTTCTTTCACCTGTTCGCTGCTTCAAGCACGATGCCTTCAACTCCCACCACGTCCTCAGTCTACCTGTATGAAGCGAGAGACCTGCAGACGCTCTCGCGAGACGTGAGACGGTGACAGGGTATGGTCCTTTAGGATGCTCTGTAGTTAAAGCTACGAACGTAACCACGTATTACAGTATAAATTTCAAAATCCAGACTAACACTCATCTTTCCTGCCTTCACGCTATCCGTTTTCTTTAGTTGTTAATGGATGTTGCTGTAACAAGCCTAACTCTTCAAAGAACCATTTATGGAACAAGTTGATGAGTTCAACATCAACGAAAGCGAAGCACGAAGCAATATCCTGCTAATTTAGTGTATATGAAAAAATTATAGAACATTCAGTGCAATCATAGGGCAAACCACTTCGTATTGATAGAGCATGGTCTTCAACTATCGTCAATATTCGCCAAAACTCGTCCCAAATAATTTCTAACTTGGAACTTCGCGTCGTCAGTGGTTAAGATCTGCATGTATGCCCTGAACTGCAACTTGGTATCGTCGACAGTCAATAGCTATTATATGTGAGTCGCCATGAACTGCTGTAGTGCTTGCCAATATTTATGAAATGCTAATAAGTAACATGATTGAAGCACCGTGGTAGTATGCGAACAAGTGAACGTACTCACTGTTGTGTAGCGTCTTGATTGCAACCCTCAGCACCTCCTCCTTGCCTTGAAGTTCCAGTGTTCCCCGGTAGACGCAGCCGAAGTGCCCTCGCAATAGAACAAAACAAGTCGTATACAACAATGGGTGTTTAAACCTGAGTCAGTTAGTTTACTGTGACCGATTCCTGAATTCATGGGACAAATACAGAAGTGAGAAAAACGGCGTGATGCATTTTCTTAATTTCGGGTTATTTTGTAGAGAAAGAAAAGAGATAACTTATACATAACTGTTATTCAAACAAAAGAAGTCATTATTTCATTTTCGATTGATTGAACTATAGCTCATTTGTACCAATGTTACAACTATTATAGGACGTTTGTAATGAACACTATTCTATACCCGGATAACTCTATCTACATCGGCGATAGCGTTTGGTGTTATAACATAATAGGTAGAGTGTATGGTGACTATAGGAACTACGTGTGGTAATTCTATAGCATATGACATGTCTGATTTAAGTCGGGGTGTGGTTCGGGTGCTTGCACTCACATGTGTTCATCTCACTATATAAACATGAGTTACGTCAGTGACACACAGTCAATAACCACTCACGGCGTGCCCCTAATTGCAAAAGGAAGCGCATGGATGTCGGAACACTTTGGCGCAAAGCCAGGCCTATTACAGGAGCATGGTCTGAAGAAATTTGTTTTGAAAAAAAAGGACTTTTATTTGGGACATAGCCTGTGCCTATTTCGAAATCGAAGTTTTCGCTTTCCTTTTTGGAAAAAGTTGTTTTCGTTGCAAAATTAATTTCAAATGAAACGCTGGAGTCGAATGTGAGTTGCACAGAGAGCGGTTTTAATTCCAAATAATCAGTGTGGGTGTGGTGGTTATTGCGTAAATTCTGGATGGCTTCGCCGGCCTCTTCACTCCAGTCGACAGTACACTGGTAGAAACGAAGGTTCCGTTATAGCCTGGCGCCTTGTCACTCGTGATAGGAAAGTCATCAGCGCCGTTTGCCTTGTCATAGAGGCACTCGTTTCCGCGTTTCCTTTCGTAGGAGCTGAGGAATAGAGGTGAGTGGCACCCTACGTGAGGGAGACTAAAGCAATTTAGTTTGTGTTTAAATTGAGCTCGCATCATTTTGTCCAGCATTTCGTTTTGCCCCCCAAGTAAGATGTTACAAAATCTATTTGCGTTTAGGGTTTCGCACTGGTTCGGCAAGAAACAAAATGAAGAGGAAAGCTGAGAGCTTAACCTCATATGAGCAAATTATTCGCTAACTAGCACTGGGTTGAGGCAGTATTGCCAGAACAAAGGTGTTGAGAGAAAAAGCGCACGTACACGTAAAATACACACACACACACACACACACACACACACACACACACACACACACACACACACACACACACAAGTAACAGCGCACCTGGGAGCGTACAGAAATGCGGACCATCGAGGGTGCGGTGGCCACATATGTACTTGTATTCACCACTTTTAAATAAAAATACTGCGCTCGCGATCACGGACTTATCTGCAATTTGCCGTTTTTGATATTACAATCTGATTTTTGTACAAAAACGTCACTTGTTATTTTACAATGCCGCATTTCGTTGTTACCTTTAATTGTTGTTTCTCATTGTTTTAGGACTTGGGTTTGGTTCCCAGTGCACGCGCATTTAGCCTTGCGAAATTCGCAGGCAACTGCATCGGCACAGTTCGCCCTTTTCTGAATATATTGAGCTAAAATGCATTTCAAAGCAAAGCAAGGGCATGCTACCAGGTAGTGCAGCACATCCCGATGCACCGGGCACACGCCGGTAGCATTCTACACATTTGGCAAGCAGTGTTGTACAAAACCCACGTATCACCACTATGCACCTTAACATAAATGTCACTCATCCCCAGTCAGATGCGACTTCTTCAACGTTCTAAAGGCTCAAGAGCAGCAGTGACACTTCCTTTCTAAATGTCCAGTGACCACACAGAAACACAATTACGCTGTGATGCGGCGAGCCTGGACGTTCGGGTACTTAAAAAAAACGGACCAAAAAAAAAACACATTGACAGTCTTGGTAAAGTTTACGTCACCTAAACAAATAAGGTTCTGTGTCCCCACAGGTCTCGCAAGTCGGACACAAGTGCATCGCGGAAAGTAATCTGCATGCCACTTGGCCGGTGCACGCGCTGACCCCGACCTGACTGTGAGGTAAAGAAGAGGCGTGTTACCTGGTTAGTCTGTGCTTGTCGACAGCTTCTGTTTGTGTTGATGGTCTCTATAGGAGCCTTCGTTGGTCTAATCTCTAAGGCACCCCAGGCCAGCTTGTCAGCTGCCTGATTTCTCGCGTTACCCTTATGCAATAGAATACATCGATATGTTATATTTGGACAACACTGTGCAGGTAGATAGGTAATTAGCTTTATTAGGATCCAACAAGGAATTACTGGCCCGGGCTAAGCCTCCAGGAGCTGTCGTCCGCTGAGCATCGTGAGATGTCTTCAGCGATAGCCCTGGCTCGCTGGACAGCCCAGATTTGGTCCACTGCACGTGGGCTGAGAAGGGCTGCTCGCCACCGCTCAGCCAGTCGTCCTGGGGTACACTCACACTCGTCCGAATAGTGGCGGCGAACACTGCCCTCACACTCCCAAAGTACATGCGCCATGTCGGCTGTCTCGGACACAGTCATGCATGTGTCGAGGATTCTCAAATGTGTCGGTCTGCAGACGCCTCAGATCAGGTGCCTGAGACCTTTCTAGCTGCATGGGGGGTGGTAAGGCCTCGGGGTCTGTTATCGTCGTTGTGGAGGTATTATGTCCTCCGACCGCAGGTGCTTCGCAATCGTCATTGTGTGGCACATCGGCGGCCCCTTCGTCTGCGTCGCGGCAGGTTAGCAGTCTCGCGACGAAGTGGGCGCGCTCATTGTGGTTCGACAGGAGGTCTGATCTTTGGTCGCTGCCAAGCTCTCCCACGTGCGCGGGGAACCTCTTGAGAAACTTGGAAGAAATCGCACCAGACTTGAAATCTTCGGCTCTGGCGTTTAGCATGTGCGCCACCTCGACATATACCCATCCCTTCGTAAAGTTTCGGACCGCCATCTTGGCGTCACTCACGATTAGAGTATCCTCGTTTCCACTATGAATTATTGCGAGGGCTATGGCCATTTCTTCTGCCACCTCAGACGATGGGAGCCTCGCATGATCCTGTCACCAGAGTTCGTTCCCTGGTGTCGACCACCACTAGTGGAGACGGCAGGTGTTGATTGGCGTTGTTGTTGCTATCGTTCGTTCTGCTGTCGCCCTCGATCGGGCCGGGGGTACCTAGCAGCGTCGACAAAGAGGACACCTTCTCGGCTGCCTTGCTCTTTGAGGATCGCCTCCACTCTGCATCTGCGCCTTTCGGCATCGTGCACTAGTTGCATATTTCGGGGCATATTCTATGTAAGTATAAAATTCTTGACCGCTGGATATAGCGCGTCCTTTAAGTCCCCGTATCCCGTGGTAACGAATCTCGAGGGATGTCGATGATGGTTTTCTGCTCTTGGTGCCCGACAGTCTTTCGAGCTGCGCAATCCTCTGAGCCTCGATGATTTCAGCAAGCGCGTTGTGCACGCCCAACTCAAAGAGCCTGTAGTTGGCAGTGTAGTGAGGTACGCTTAACTGCGGGCGATCGTGTCGAGCTTGTTGCTTTCGCTTGTACTCCAATTGACGTAAGCAGCAACGTACGTGATGTGGCTTACAGCATACGCCTGTATTAGTCTCACTACATTGTGCTCTTTCATTCCTTTCCTCTCAATTCGTGATTCTTCGTATCAGGTTCGTGGCGGCTGCCACTTTCTTTTGTAGCCGGCTGACCAGCTCGGAATTGGCACCATTTTCTTCCAACCAGAGGCCGAGGACTCGTACCTTGGACACCGTGGGTATGCGGTCTCCTTTTGTCGTGACACACACGCCCGTCTGACTGACCTTGGCCACGTCTCTCAGGGGACGTCCCAGTTTCCGAGGTCTGTGGAGCAGAATCTCCGACTTGTTTGGAGCGCAGACGAGCCCCGTGCCTTCGAGGTGCTTCTAGACTTTGCTTACCGCTCGCTGCAGCCTAACTTGCATACTCCCAGAACTCATGCTCTGTGTCATCCATATCGTAATGTCGTCCGCGTAGATTGTATGGTTGATGGCTTTGATCGCGTTGAACCGCTCCGGAAGACCGATCATAACGAGGTTGAATATCGACCGTTTTGGTGGTAACCCGTCAATCTTGATTCGCTCTTCTCGCCCGTCGAGGAAGCTGCCGACATATCGGTGGAATCTCTCCCCAAGGTTTAGCTGACTGATCTTCTCTAGTATGGCCGTGTGCCTCACAGTGTCGAAAGCACTTTTGAGATCGAGACCGAGTATGGCGCGAAGGTGCGTGCTCGGTGCATCAACGACTTATTCTTTGATTTGCAGCATTGAGACCTGTGTGGAGAGTCCTTTCCGGAACCCGATGATATGGGTGCGAAACGCGTTTAGACTTTAGAGGAGCGTCACCACCCTATTCAGGCAGGCGTGCTCCGTCACCATGCCGACGCACAACGTGAGAGAAATCGGCCTCATGTTCTTGACTACTAGTGGCTTGCCCAGTTTGGGTATAAGCACCACGTCCACGATTTTCCATTCGCGCGGAACCCGACCAGTCCTCCAGGACTCATTGACATACTCGCATGGGTTCACGATGGCGTTGTCGTCAATGTTTCTGATGATCTTGTTGGTGATTTTGTCCGGGCTGGGCGCCGACTTCGTCTCGAGTTGTTGAAGAACCACCCTGATCTCTCTCGTGTACAGAGAAGTCCGCGTCGAGGTCTTTGTTAGGTATACTCGGGGTTATCTGGGTCTTCGGGGCGAGTGAGGTGCGTCCGCACGATCTCGTCCGTGAGGGCCTCTGGGTCGTCCTTGTATTTGTGCCGCAACTTGGCCATCTCTGTCCGAACTGCCGTCCTGCTACTAGCGTGATTTAGCAGGTGCTTCGGGATCTTCCAGGTGTGCCCCGCGCTCATATTTTCGTCCATGTTATTGCAAAGCTCTTCCCATTCCTGCTCGCATAAGCGTGAACAGTGTGTCTCAATTTCGCGGT